ACAGTGAAAAATCCAAAAAGGAAAATGATCTCATTTACAATAGCATCAAAAAGAATAAAATATTTAAGGATAAATTTAATCAAGGAGTCAAAAGACTTGTATGAAAAAAACTACAAAACAGTGCTGAAAATTTAAAGAAGACACAAATAGACATCTCATGTTCATGAATTGGAAAACTTAGTATTGTTAAGATGTCCATATTATTCAAAGCTATCTACAGATTCAATGTAATCCCTATCAAAATCCCATTGGCATTTCTTTTTGCAGAAGTAGAAAAAAAAATCCTAAAATTCATGTGGAATCTCAAAGGACCCTGAAAAGAAAAGAAAAAAATCTTCTGAAAGAAAAATAAAGCTGGGGACCTCACATCCTGATTTCAAAATATACAAGGGTGGGTAAAAGTGGGTTTACAGTTCTTATGGAATATAATACAATAAATAACTGTTTCCTATACTCACAACTGTAAACCTACTTTTGCCAACCCTGTATTACAAAGGTACAGTGATCAAAACTGTATGATACACACCTGGCCGGCGTGGCTCATTGGTTGAGTGTCGCTCTATGAACCAGGAGGTCATGGTTCAATTCCAAGTCAGGGCACATGCCCTGGTTGCGGGCTTGAGTCCCAGTGGCAACCAATCAGTGATTCTCTCTCATCATTGATGTTTCCATCTCTCCCACTCCCTTCTTCTCTGAAATCAATAAAAATATTTTTTTTTACCAGGTGTACCGGTTAATGCATATTTTTTCAATAGATGGAGTTACACATATGTTGATATATATGCGATTTGATATGGATGCTATTTTGTTGTATTGACAGCAAGCTTCAAAACGTCATATGTCAAATTTTGTGAAGGTGTTAATATCATAGATATTTTTACACTTAAAAATGTCGAATTTCATGCCCCCAAAAAAGGGCATTTGTGGGAAGTTTTAATTCATTACTTTATTTTGAAGAAAAAGTTATCATATACTTTGGGAAGCTTATGGTGAACATGCTGCATCTCAAGATACTTGGGAATGCTGGTTTAAATGCTTTAAAAGTGATGATTTCGATGTGAAAGACAAAGAACGTCCAGGTCAACTGCAAAAATTTGAAGACCAACAATTACAAGCATTATTGGATGAAGATGCTTGTCAAACTCAAAAACAACTTGCAGAAAGATTAAACATTGCTCAGCAAACAATTTCTGATCATTTACAAGCACTGGGAAAGATTTTAAAGGAAGGAAAATGGGTGCCACATCAACTGAACAAAAGACAAATGGAAAACCGTAAAGTCATCAGTAAAATGTTGCTTCAATGGCACCAAAGAAAGTCTTTTTTGTATCGAATTGTGACTGGCGATGAAAAGTGGATTTATTTTGAGAATCACAAATGCACAAAATCATGGGTTGATCCAGGTCAACCATCAACATCGACTGCAAGGCCAAATCGCTTTGGAAAGAAGACAATACTCTGCATTGTGGTATATTATGAGCTCCTAAAACCAGGTGAATCCATTAATACTAATCGCTACTGACAACAAATAATCAATTTGAACCACGCTTTGATCGTGAAATGACCAGAATGTGCCAGAAGACATGGCAAAGTAATTTTGCTTCATGATAACGCACCATCACACACTTCAAAACCAGTTAAAGACATGTTAAAAGATCTTGCCTGGGAAGTATTAACCCACCCGCAGATTTCACCAGACCTTGCTCCTTCAGATTACGTTCCAATCAATGGCACATGCACTTTCTGAGCAGCACTTCGAAATGAATGAAGAAGTGGAAAATTGGGTCTCTGAATGGTCTGCCTCAAAACAAGAAAAGTTCTATTGGGACGGTATCCACAAATTACCTGAAAGATGGGGGAAATGTGTAGCTAGCGATGGACATTACTTTGAATAAAGCACTTTTGATGTTTCTCTTGAAATTATCGTGTTTTCTTTGATTACAAAATCCGATTATTAACCGGTACACCTGGTAAAAAACTGTATGACACTGGTATAAAAGATATCCATAGACTCACTTCAACCAATACATTGAGTCTAATGAACTCTTTCATATATAGTCAAATGATCTTCAGCAGGCTGCCAAGGCTACACAAAGGAGAAACGACAGTAGCTTCAATAAATGGTGCTGGAAAACTGGATATCCACATACAAAAGAATGAGGTTGGACCATTACCTTACACCATATACAAAAATTAACTCAAAGACCTAAACCAGTGATTTTCAACCTTTTTCATCTCATGGCATGTGTAAACTAATTACTAAAACTATGTGGCACTAACAAAAAATATATTTTCCGCCTCACAAAAAATAGGCATTATATTGACTCATTCACACCAGTTGACTATTGTTGTGTTGGCATTTTTTTAAATTTGGCAATCTAAGGAAAAGAGATCAGTGCCCCTGATTAAATAGTCAAGTACTGCACACCAGTGTGCCATGGCACACCATTTGAAAATCACTGACCTAAACATAAGACTTGAAGCTTATAAAACTGCTAAGAAAACAGCAACAACAACAACAAACAGGGCAGCCCTAACCGGTTTGGCTCAGTGGATAGAGTGTCGGCCTGCAGACTGAAGGGTCCCAGGTTCGATTCCGGTCAAGGGCATGTACCTTGTTTGTGGGCACATCCCCAGTAGGAGGTGTGCAGGAGGCAGCTGATTGATGTTTCTCTCTCATCGATGTTTCTAACTATCCCTCTCCCTTCCTCTCTGTAAAAAAAAAAAAAAATTCAATAAAAATATATTTTAAAAAATATATATGTGAGCCCTAGCTAGTTTGGCTCAGTGGATAGAGCCTTGGCCGGTGGATTGAAGGGTCCTGGGTTCAATTCCAGTCAAGGACACATACCTCGGTTGCGGGCTTGATCCCTGGCCCTGGTCAGGGCCCATGCAGGAAGCAACCAATCGGTGTTTCTGTCTCTTCCCTTCCCTTCCACTCTCTCTGAAGATCAATGGAAAAATATCCTCGGATGAGAATTTTAAAAAATTGTTTTTAAATGTGTGAAATATTTGCACTAGATGGAAGGATATACAAAATTATATGTGGTTTTATTTTCTTAAATTTCATTTAATACTGATATTTTATCCTTACAATTAAAAATTAAGTATAAAAAAATTTGTGCATGATATTTCAAATTGGTGGGGAAATGGTGACCAGTGATTAGATCCTGGGTGTATGTTTATCCTTATCTCACACTAACTATTTTTTAATAGTAATTATTTTTTATTATGATCATAGCATTAGACTTACAAACAGAAAAATAGTTTGTTGTGTTTATTCACTAAGAATATAAATAGAGATATTTTAAGTTTCTTTACACTTTTATATCAAATCCAAACACTGATGATAACATGCTTTTGGTATTAAAATTATTATTATTTTAATCATTGCTAGCATTATCATTTGCTGAAAGAAAGATAATGATGATTATAGTGATACTAGAGGCTCGGTGTACAAAAATTTGTGCACTGGCAGGGGAGGGGGGTGGGGGGTGTCCCTCAGCCCCACTTGTGCCCTCTCACAGTCTGGGACCCCTCGGGAGATAACCACCTGCTGGTTTAGGCCCACTCCCCGGGTGGCAGATGGCAGGCCCGATCCCTCGGTGCCTGCCCCGCCTCCCCGGGTCTTGCACACGGCAGGGCCGATCCGGGGGTTGGGGCACCGCCCCGGGCGGGTCACACACGGAACGCCTGGGCGGGCCGGCCGATCGCTGCTGCACCGCCTGGCCGCCCTGGGTCGGGTCGCACACGGACGCCTGCCACCCTGGGTCACAGATAGCAGGCCCAGATGATGGCAGGGCAGGCGGGATGGCGCTGTCCTGCCCTGCCTGCAGTATGCAAATTAGCCGCCACCTTTGTTGGCGGTTAATTTGCATATCACACTGATTAGCCAATGGGAGGCGTAGCGAAGGTATGGTCAATTACCATGTTTGTCTATTATTAGATAGGATTATGTTAATGATAGAAATCACAAAAACACTTTCTCAGACAACTAATTGATGTTTCACTCTCACATCGATGTTTCTCTCTCTTTCCTTCTTTATTCTTCTCTCTCTAAAATCAATAAAAGCATGTCCTCAGTGGAGGATTTAAAAAGAAAGAGTTATTATAATAATTACTTTACATGTAAACAAATCAATCACCCCAGCTTTTGAAATAAATTTCAAATGGATCAAAGATTTAAGAGTTTGTATTTTTAAGGTAGGCATTGAAAGAAATAAAAATGAAACAAGCACAATACAATGTCATGTGTAGTTTGTGCACTCTAGGTGAGGCCACACTTTAAATTGCTGCACCCAGAAAGAGAATGTGCAGCTGGCGGGGCCACAGACTGGGTCTGTGGATCCCCTGACCCTATGGCCTTTGGCTTCACCAGTGGCAGTGGTCTCGGGTAGAGCCAGTAATTGTGAGGTGATCCCTCTTCTGTTGCCTGGAGTGTGTTTGATAGGGCAGCAGGCAGGGACAGGGCACAGAGAGAGGCCCGGCTCCAACACCCCCCTCCAGCTGACTTGGCCTTGGCCTGGCTTGGGCGAGGCAGAGGCGTCATCTTGTTCTCATATGTGGGAAGGCTATGAAAAGAAAAACCCTGGTTGGCCCAAACATTTAAACAAGAACTACACTGGGATCTTTTGTTCTCACTCAGACGTGGTCAGAATGAATTTGGAGGTTCAAAAGAGGATTATTTAATTGTTGTCATTTTTGTTTTTGAATCTGAGTTACTTAATGCATGGATGCAGAGGGAAATACAAAACAGAAACACATGTCTGAAGTCTATCAAGTGGGATGGGAACATCCCCAGGTCATTCTTCAGGGCACCATTTTGTTAGCCTTTGGGGGGCTCCTGACTCCAAGTTGACATCCAAGCTGCTGCTGAACTTCCCGCTGGCTTCCCCCAGTGGCAGGAGTGATAGAAGTCAAGCAGTGGAGTGTGTCTGGGCATCTGAGAAACAGACAGAGCTTCAGAGATCTTAATCATTTTTTTTTTTATTCCTCCTCAGGTTTAATAGGGAAAACTTGCTTTCTGCAAACAACTGAAAAAGCTGCCTTTGGAAACTCTCTGGCCCTCATGCAGCAGCTGGAACTTGTACTGTGAGGCCTTGACAGGACAAGCTGTCCCCAAGCCATCACCCGGAGCGGTTGTCGCCATGGCCAGCAAGCGGAAATCCACCACCCCATGCATGATTCCCGTGAAGACCGTGGTGCTGCAGGAAGCCAGTGCAGAGGCCCAGCCCGCCGAGGCTCTGCCCGAAGGACCCCCACCGGACCTGCCCCCAGAAGCGCCTGCCACCAGCAGCGAGGTCGCCCAGGCCTCCAGCAATACCGACAGCGCTGCGCTGGCCAACGGCCATCAGAGCACTTTGGATGGCTATTTGTATTCCTGTAAATACTGTGATTTCAGATCCCAGGACATAGCCCAGTTTGTGGGACACATGAACTCCAAGCACACAGACTTTAATAAAGACCCGACCTTTGTATGCACTGAGTGCAGTTTTCTGGCAAAAACTCCTGAGGGGCTTTCTCTGCACAATGCCAAGTGCCACTCGGGGGAAGCCAGCTTTCTGTGGAATGTGGCCAAGCCAGACAATCATGTGGTCGTGGAGCAGAGCGTCCCTGAGAGCACCAGCACTCCTGACCCGCTGGGCGAGCCCAGCACTGACGGGACCGATGGACAAGCCGAAATCATCATCACCAAAACTCCAATCATGAAGATAATGAAAGGCAAAGCTGAAGCCAAAAAAATTCATACGCTCAAGGAAAACGCCCCCAGTCAACCTGTTGGTGAGACCTTACCAAACCCACCAGCTGGGGAAACAGAGGCAAAAGAAGAGGACCACTCCTTTGTCAATGGGGCGGTTCCAGTCAGCCAGGCACCCACCAACCCCGCCAAGCCTCCCCATACGACCAATGGGCCCCTGCTGGGGACAGTGCCAGTTCTGCCAGCTGGTATAGCACAGTTTCTCTCTCTCCAGCAGCAGCCCCCAGCACATGCCCAGCACCACACCCACCAGCCACTGCCCACCTCCAAGTCCCTTCCCAAAGTGATGATCCCCTTGAGCAGCATTCCAACATACAATGCGGCCATGGACTCCAACAGCTTCTTGAAGAACTCTTTCCACAAGTTCCCCTACCCAACCAAAGCTGAGCTCTGCTATTTGACTGTGGTTACCAAGTATCCAGAAGAACAGCTCAAGATCTGGTTCACAGCCCAAAGGCTGAAACAAGGGATCAGTTGGTCCCCCGAAGAGATCGAGGACGCCCGGAAAAAGATGTTCAATACAGTCATTCAGTCTGTCCCTCAGCCCACAATCACCGTTCTGAATACTCCTCTGGTTGCCAATGCTGGCAACGTCCAGCATCTCATCCAGGCTGCCCTCCCAGGTCATGTTGTGGGACAGCCGGAGGGCACAGCAGGGGGACTTCTGGTCACTCAGCCACTGATGGCCAATGGGTTGCAGGCACCGAGTTCATCTCTCCCTCTAGCAGTAACATCTATCCCCAAGCAGCCAACTGTTGCGCCCATTAACACTGTGTGTTCAAACACGACATCAGCAGTGAAGGTGGTCAATGCAGCCCAGTCATTGCTCACAGCATGCCCGAGCATCACTTCCCAAGCCTTCCTTGATGCCAGCATCTACAAAAATAAGAAATCTCATGAACAGCTGTCAGCTCTGAAAGGCAGCTTCTGTCGGAACCAGTTCCCGGGACAGAGTGAAGTTGAGCATCTGACCAAAGTGACCGGCCTAAGTACCAGGGAGGTGAGGAAATGGTTCAGTGACCGGAGGTACCACTGCCGGAATCTGAAGGGCTCCCGGGTCATGATGCCCGGGGATCCCAGCTCCATCATCATTGACTCTGTGCCAGAGGTGCCCTTCCCCCCAGTGTCCAAGGCCCCTGATGTGACCTGCATCCCAACAGCAGTCACCCTGGCCGCCCACCCTTCTGCCAAACGACAGTCCTGGCACCAGACCCCTGACTTCACACCAACCAAATACAAGGAGCGAGCCCCTGAGCAACTCCGAGCCCTGGAGAGCAGTTTTGCACAAAACCCCCTTCCTCTCGACGAGGAACTGGACCGCCTGAGGACTGAAACCAAAATGACCCGAAGAGAGATCGACAGCTGGTTTTCTGAGAGACGGAAAAAGGTGACCACCGAGGGGACCACCAAGGCCGATGGGAGTGCCTGTCAGGAGGAGGAGGAGGCCGCTGAGGATGAGGGGGGAGCAGAGGAGGCGGCCGGTGACCTGAGGGTCCCTGGGGAGAATGGCTCCCCAGAAGTGCCCAGCAGCCACACCTTGGCTGAACGCAAAGTCAGCCCCATCAAGATCAACCTGAAGAACCTGCGGGTCACTGAAGCCAATGGCAAGAGCGAGCTACCCGGGCTGGGCGCCTGTGACCCTGAAGACGATGGGTCAAACAAGCTGGCCCTGCAGCCACCTGGCAAGGTGAGCTGCAAAAAGACAGCACAGCAGCGGCACCTGCTGCGCCAGCTCTTTGTGCAGACGCAGTGGCCGAGCACCCAGGACTACGACTCCATCATGGCCCAGACAGGCCTGCCACGGCCAGAGGTGGTGCGTTGGTTCGGCGACAGCAGGTACGCTCTGAAGAACGGCCAGCTCAAGTGGTACGAAGACTACAAGCGGGGCAACTTCCCACCAGGGTTACTGGTCATCACCCCTGGCAACCGGGAGCTGCTGCAAGACTATTACGTGACACACAAGATGCTGTATGAGGAGGACCTGCAGAGCCTCTGCGACAAGACCCAGATGAGCTCCCAGCAGGTCAAGCAGTGGTTTGCTGAGAAAATGGGCGAGGAGACCCGGGCAGTGGCAGACACAGGCAGCGAGGACCAGGGCCCTGGTGACCCTGCAGCAGTGCACAAAGGGCTGGGCGATACCTATTCAGAGGTGTCTGAAAACAGTGAGTCGTGGGAGCCCAGTGCCCCTGAGGCCAGCTCAGAGCCCTGTGACATACCGAGTCCCCAGGCTGGTCGTCAGCTGGGTAAGGAGCCCATAGCAGTCATGGCTGTCCTCCGTGGGTATGGGGAGGGGGCACCCATGGGTGGGCACTGGATTTACTGCATGGGAGCATCTGCTATTTCAAAGGTTGCCCAGCTGCTTCGGGGTAACTGGCAGCAGACATCTTCAGAACATAAGATGATAAAGGGTTGAGAGTTGTTTATTTCATTTTATGTTTCTTAAAAACTTGTGCAGGGGCAGGAACATAGTGAACCTACAAAGGTCCAAACTTTTCTAGTCATTTCTTAGCTAAAGAAAGTCTTTAATTATCTTTAGATACATGGTGAAGTTTTTTAATAATGAAAATCCTATAATTTTCTCTTTAATTGTTCTTCCTGATGTGGAAGTAATGGAAACTCATCTTCCCTCTTAGATGTATATGGAATCAAATGCTGGGTCATGGTATTAGTATTTGACAGGAAACTCTGCAAGAGTATTTTATTTAAGACAGGTTTTATTGATTTCAGAGAGGAAGGGAGAGGGAGGGAGAGAGAGAAACATCAATGATGAGAGAGAATCATTGATTGGCTGCTTCCTGCACACCCCTTACTGAGGATCAAGCCCACAACCTGGGCCTGTACCCTGATTGGGAATCGAACCTCGACCTCCTGGTTCATAGGTTGATGCTCAACCACTGAGCATGTTGGCCAGGTGAGAAGTTAAGTAATTTTTAAAGTTACACAGCATGTGCCCTTGATCAGAATTGAACCCAGGACCCTTCAGTCCGCAGGCCGGCACTCTGTCCACTGAGCCAAACCAGCTAGGGCTAAGACAGGTTTCTTGAAGCTACAGACAAGTCACACTGGCTGTCAGTATGGGGTGTTGATTTTCCAAGGCCTCTCCTCCCCTCCGTCTCCTCATAGAGGCCCCTCACTGTGAGGGAGGGCCTCCCAGGGAGCGTTGTGGGCATCAAGGACAGGTCTAGCTTCACAGGACTGGTTGCCTTGGCCTCATCTCCCGCACTGGGCTTGCCCCTGGGGAATGCCCACCTGGGCTTTGGCTTCACCAACAAAACAGCATAGATAGCAGAGAACTAGAGCAAGCTATTTCTTTTGCTTTTTTAAATTAAAGTTTTACTAAATTATATTCTTGGGCAGCTGGAAATAGGGTGGTGGTTACACAACAGTGTAACTGTACTTAATGCCACTTAAAGTGATAGGATTTCTGTTATGTATATTTCACCACACTTTTGAAGAAAGCTAACCTGGAATTGGGATGAATGCGTTTGAATTGCAAGCATTTGCTCCCCTCAGCTATTAACTCCACCAGAAAGTGAAGTGCTGGTGTCCTGGGTGGGACAGAGCAGGAGCGGCGGGGGTGACCCTGCACCTGTGGCATCGTCCTCTTCTATCCAAGGCAGGTACCAGGTGCAGGAAGGGCTGTCTGTCTGCCCCTGGCTTCTCCCGGCCTTGTCAGCAGCCTTAAGGCAGGCTGCTTCTGAAAGCAGCAGGGATGACGGACCTCTCTGAACAACCCACGGACTTGGACTGTGGGGTTGGAAGTTAGAGATGAAGACATCAGTAAAATGCATGTCAGAGATTAGACCCAGCTGCTGTTACATTAGAAGAGTATGTTCTGGAGAGCCCGAAGGGAGCAGGCAGGACGAGGCGGCGGCCTGGGGAGCCGGCCGAGGGGATACATTGGTGGGCCTAGAGAAGACATCTCCTGCACCAGCTCCTAGGCCTGGGATTGGGCAGTGGTCCCTGCCAGATTTAGCCAGCATCCTGTCCTTAACCCCACAGGCCTTCTTCACATGCCCTCAGGCTGCAGAGGAGGGAGTGGCTAGCAGGAAGGCGTTGCTTATGGAATTAAGAAGTCACCAAAGCCAGTGATGCCGCCCTTGGGGGCTACACACGTGGCAGCTGACATGGAGGTGACAGGCATGTGCTTTCTCCTCAGAAACAGACTGAATTGAACCGATTACTGTGAAGGACTGGCCAGTCGGGGATGCTGCCTGCCACGTGGAAGGGCCCCACCCAACTCTCTGCTGACACATCCATTCCCATACCCGGCCTCTGGGCGCACAGAGCTTCTGGAACCTCACAGACAGCCCAGATCCCTCCTGTCACCTCCGGCCAGCCATCACCAAGCAAGAGGGAGAGCAGAGTTTCCGTCAGTTCTTCCACAATGTAGGACCTGTCCTTTGCCTTTCAGTGGATAAAGTAGTTCAGATTTCATAGTCATAGACACAGAATCCAATTTTTAACACAAGTCCGCCTATACACATTTAATGAAACATCGGATTATAAACACTTATTATTACATAGAAACTTTGTTAGCAAAGCAGTACATTGTCTTTTGCATCATCTCTGAAAATGTCCTGTGTCTGCTCTCTGGACATCGCTGGGGCCACATGTTCCCTCACCTTCCAGGTCAGGCAGGGGTGATCGCACACTCAGACCACATCTGGAGCCCGGGCCCCTTTGTGTTCCTCAAGGAAGGCAGCACCTTTGAGGTGCTCTCTGCTACCTTAGGTGGAGACCAGTAGAATCTCCTGCCGGCTCGCATGCCTGGCAGGATAATCAGTGCAGGACCTGCCGTTACTGCATTTAAGAAATGACTGGTTATGTGATTACCACTCTCTTAAGCTGTTGTAGTAATTCTGCTTTGTTCATGGAAGTTTGAATCATGGACCGTTACTTTTTAGTTTCCAGATCAACTAAAGAAATATTTGCTATTAAGCCTAATGTACTGACTATATGTCCGCATTAAAAAAAAAATCTAGACATGCCTAGAGAGAGAGGAAATTGAAAACAGAACCAGCAGTGGGGACAAAGCGACAGTGCATGGCCACCGCCTGTGTTCAGAGCCCTCGACCTCTCTCACTGCACAGCCCCCTGCGCTCTGGGAGGGGAGACCCACACCTGCCCGGGGTGAGAGGACGGATGGGATTATCAGAACTGGGGTGGCCTTTGGCACAATGACCTGCATGTGGGGGTTCCTGGCAGAACACCCAGAGTCCTCCTGGCCCCCATGCCAAGGGCCTGGCTGGTGTGCTGGGCACTCGCCCAGGGGTGCTGGGCATCACTGCACAGGTCCTTGCAGGGTTTATGGTGTTAAAGGTCTATATTTATATCTGCAGACTTGGAAACAAGATCTCTGTCTACATTAGCCTAACCATCGTGTTCTTTTTTATATTATTATTGAAAAAAATCACAGGAACAGATGCCTTTGAAGCATTGGGAAACTTGCTTACAACGCTGTATTGAATGGTAAACTCTGTCTCCCCAGGACTGGCTGCTTTAAGAGCAGCCACTACAGAGTGCGGCAGGCAAAAGAAGGGTCACTGCAGCACTGCTCACCTGGACACCACCTGCTTCCCAAAGCACTGGGACCTCCTGGGCACGCCCTCCTGGTCCAGGCTGGGCAAGCAGCACGAGGAGACCCCGGAGAGAGGGCAGGGGCTTTGGGCAAGAAATACTGGTGCTGGGTTAGGCATGGTCCTTCCTCCCCCCCACCCCTCCCCAGGAACTGGACCAGGCAGGCTCTTCACTGGCCTTCCAGGAGAGGGCTTGCCTTGCAAATCAGAAGTCCTTAGACCTTGTTCTTTGGAAGTGTCTTCTTCTGCCCTCTCTGTCCCAATAGGTACCACCCCTTATGTGTTTCAAACAGGTGGCTTGTGAGTATTTGGCAAGCTTTGCAGCCTATTGTTTTTTGTACACTTTCCATTTTGGAGGGTGAAGCTATTTAGCTCTAAAGCTCTCTTTACAGAATTGCCAAGAATGACGAGTTATTGCCTTCCTTCAGAGAACAGATGCCTGGAATTTTTCCTTTAGTGTTTATGTACATGCAGGTTAATTTATGTATACACATATACAGTATAAATACTCATTTGATGCTTTGCTCGTGAAATGGACATCTGACATGTACACTTGAGGAACTTGGTGGCACATGGGTGTTGGGAGAAGTAGCCTGTGTTGGATGGAATGCTGGTACATGGGGTGCAGTGGGCGGCCCAGCACGAAGCCATCTCCAAGTGTCTGAAACACACCCTGCCGGCATCACCCCCGGAACGTTGTCACACCGGCCAAAGGGGTGTGTCTGTAGAGAGGATATTCTTGGTTATTTGTATTCACATTTCATTTACAATCCAAATAGCAAGACAGAAAAAATAAAGTACATAGATGGACAAGTTCATGCAAGACAGAGAGAGCAACCCAACCTCAGCACCAACTCACCTTTAAGAGGTGGAAAAATTGGCATGTTTTCCTCACATTGTTGGCCCTGTCCACCCACCAGGGCCACACAAGGAATAACAAGACTGCCCAGGTTAGGGGCCAGAGTGAGCAGAGCGCCTCCCTCCAGTGCTCTTGGGCCGGAGTGGTTAGTGGGGTGTGGGCCTCACGCTTGAAAGAATAAAAGATCAAACATGATGGGGAGAGAGACGGGACATCAAGCAGGTGCCTAAAAGGATATTTCAGGTACCCAAGGCTTTGGTGCAGAACCGTAAACATAGCCAACTGGGCACAGAGAAATAGCCCAGAAATCAGGACTATACCCCAGTGCCGGGGGCACGTGGCCCTGCCACAAGACAGATCTTGGTGGTTTTGCACACGACTGAAGGGGGAGCTTCTGTGATGCCGCTACGGCAGAAGGCAGTCTGTGGGCTGCAGAGCTGAAGGTGGGGTGGGGTTAGTCTCTTGAGAGGAAGAGCCTGTTTTGTAAGGTGACTGATCTTTCCCTGGTCCTCTGCATGCACTTGGACTCGTCAGAGGCAGTCAAGTATTTCACTCTTTCTAGTTGCCCATGTCTTATCCATGTTTGGTTTATTATAATTTTTACAGTGAGGTTGTATATCCGGTTTTAAGAGGTGAAGCCAGACCATCACCTGATACAGGAAATCTGGATTTATGGTACATATAGTTTGCATATTTTGATTACTTGTTTGAGTCTTGAGGAGCATTTGGTTTGGGAGGAGGTTCCTTCTCCAGGAGTCGCGGGTTCCTGAACTAGAATGCCGAGTGGGGTGGTGGCCAGCACTGGGCTTCGGCAGACTCTGGGGCTTAGGGCTCCTTTCTTGGCCGAGTGACCTGCAGCTGTTGAGGTGGACCAAAGCGCCTCGACCGGAGGCCTCGCACCCTGCTCTTCAGAAACAAAAGGTGGGGGCTCAGCAGAGGGCTGGGTGGTGCCTTATAGGCTCCCACGTGTACTAATGGCCGTGGCCCAGCTGGCCATGGGAGGCTGTCCCCCCAGGGAGTTTCAGTGTGTCCTCCAGGCTGAGATGTGGCTCGGTCAGTGGTCCTGTGTCTCCTCCTCTGACTCGGACATCTGTGCCAGGCTGCCTTCCGTGCAGGTGCACTGCCCTTTCTGGTTGGGCCTCGCCTTGCTCTGCACATCCTCTCCCATGGCTTCCTGCTTGTGCTGCCCTCTTTGGGCCCTATTGCCTCGTCTTCCTTTCTCTTCTCGGACCAAAATTGGGGATTGGAGCAGCTTGTCAGTTCAGACACCACACCCAAGTGGATAAAGGCCCTCTGTGGGAGAGGAGAACAAGCCAAGAAGAAAAACTTAAATAAAACCAAACCTGGAGTTTGGGCTTTTCCTCAAGTATTCCCCCTTTTCCTTGCTCAGACTTCTCCTGGGGCAGGTTATCATTTGACTCACCTTTTGTGTGAAATTTAAATCTTTATGTATCCCACTGCTTTGCAAGGCTCAGTTGTGTTGGAGAAAAAAAATCCTCTAGATATGCAAGGTCTGCACAGCCAGCAGCCAGCCTGGGCCAGGAGGTGAGTAGGGTTCAGTTCTCCTCACTCCAGCCTGGAGCCCTCCCTCTGCAGGGACCTCTGATTCGGCTTCCTCCGCTGCCTGTCGCTAGCACAGGCCGCCTAGCCTCCTGCCCAGCCTTGGGGAGCACCTTCCTCAGCAAAGCTCCAGCACCTGAGAAAGGGAGTGTGGAGGCCCAGCCTTCTCTGCATAGTCCCCTCCCTGAGCGAGGCTTGTCTGAGGTGCCCGCCCTGCTGGCTTCTCTGGCCCATTTATGATGCTGAGCCCTGGGGCACCAGGGCTGAGGAGACTGCGGGCGACCTTGCAAAAAAGTGGTGGGTTTGGATTTGGGCCGAGTGACTGGATGCAGGTGGCTCTCGTGGGTGCTGCTTGGCTTGCTCCCCAGCTCAGCTGCAAGTCCAGAGGCTTACAGTTCGAATTCATTTCTGCTGGAATCTATGTGTCCCCAGTGCCGGTCACACTGGAACCGGGGGCTCACCCCAGTTCTCTCTGGGTTGACCCAGCATCTGCACGTAGCTGAGAGGAGCACAGACACAGAGCATTTAGTCCCAGAGAGTCTGCTTCTCTGGTTCTTTAGTCCTGAGCTCACTTGTCAAGACTGGCTGTTCTGTGACCTGCCTGCAAACCTGGCCTCTCCTTTGAGTGGGGCCCTAGTCCTTCATCAGACTGGAGACATGACAGTCTGGATCCCACAGGAACCAAGCATTCTACCTGCCCCCAAATCTGGAGCAGGAGTAGAGACCCAAAGTCTGGGATGGATGAGGTAGGCCCTGGTTACCATATGGACAGGGCAAGCACCTGCAACCTGGAGTTTAAAAATGAGATCTTTTAGTTTGCAGGACTGCAAGGATCCACAAAGAACATATAGTTCCTGCCTTGTTGCCGCCCCAAGGCTCACACAGCCCTCAGGACCTGGTCCTTGCTGCTGCTCAGGCCTGAGCCAGGCCCAGCGGAGGGAGGTGAGCACAGGGGCAGGCCCTAGGATGGGGCTGTGGTCCTCCCCTCTCTCCTGCTGTCCACTAGGGGCGGCTGGTAAGCCGGGCTTCCTGAGAGGGAGTGTTTACCTATTTTAGTGCCTCTTCCTTCAGGAGATGGCTCTGGTGGCGTGTGTGCACACGTGAGCACTTGAGTGTGTTAGTAGCTTCTCTTTGCTAATGCTTTATAACTCCTTTCCATGACGAGTGGAGGGTTTAAAAGTACTCAGTGTAGCTGGGGCTGCAGTGAACTCTCTGGGATGACACAGGCTGTTCAGTCACTGAACATAAAAAGCTGCAAGTGCTCCGTCTTCCCCACAGGGTACATGTTAATCCTGCAATTTGTGTTTAAAGAGAGAGAATGTCACTTGCCCCTGGCTCCTGCCCATACAGCTGTCTCATTCTTGCAGTTTACGGGAGCCCCAGGTTTCCCAGAGCCAGGAGGGGAGCCTGCCCCCGCCCTGCCCCCAGTAGGGAGCCAGCAGGGTCGGCCCTGCGCAGTGAAGCCGGCCAGTGCCAGGGGAGAGGTGAGCACCTGCGTCAGGAGGGCCAGACTGGGCCATAGTTTAAAAAGAGAAAATACGCCAACCTTCCCCTCTCCTGCCAGCCATTGTTCATTGAAAGTTCACTGCGCACAGTCTTTGTGGAACTCAGGGAGTTTGCCAAAGGCCTGCAGATTCCTTCCTCAAGGTCCTGATTCCAGGTTTTCTACTGTCGGGTAGATTCTGGACTCTGTACAAACCCTTTGTTCCAGAGGGCTGCTGAGAAGTGAGGAGGGGATGACTGTTGACCAGTTTGCTTTTGGTTCGCTTCTTGTCTCCCAGAGATGGCTGAAGAAGTGATCACCTTGGTGCTAAGAGGCAGCTGCCCTGTTTCTGTTTGTCCGGAGGCAGATTAAAACGTTACCAAACCATGTAGGAGGGGTCCCACGGCCTGCGGTGGCCACTGTGAGAGCGCAAACGGAGAGGGGCGCTTTGTCGCTTTGTCCTTTAGGCCTGGGTGGAACGGGATTCTGCCACAGGGGAATGTTTTTAACAGAGATTGTGACTTGCCTTTGGACCATGGCTGTGCCGAGGCGAGGCTGGCACTGGGCCGTCTCCAGGCTCACAAGGTCCCTGTAGGGATGCTGCTATTTCTAAGATGCAAATTGCACATTTCCTAGATTTTGTATCTGTGGATGTGGATAAGAGAAGGCAACAGGGAAAAACTGCTTGTACAATTTGAAATGGGCCGAAATGGTACTTCAAATCTTTCAATTGTTCCTAAATAAAAATTTAAATACATTTCACATCTGCTGACTTTTATTTTGTGGGGGAGTCAGGAAAAAAAAAAAGCTAAAAACACTTCACATCTGTGGATTCACTCTGTGGGCAAGGCCGGCTGTGAGCTTGGATGGACGCACTCAGAAGTTTCTCCTGCACTGCTCATGCTCGGCTTCTACGCGGCAGAAATCCGGCATTTTAGAAATTCCCAGATAGAGGCTGAATGGAGCTGGGAGTCATCAGGTATCTGGTGAGAGGGCACCCTGGGAGCTAGATCACACAGGTGTGGAACCTGAGGCCATTCAGCTGACCCCCAGGGTGGGTGCAGACTCAGGCAGTGGCTCGCTTGGGACACAACTGTGGATGGAATTGGGAGAGGTGGCCAGCAAGGGGTGGCTGTGGGTTTCCAGGCAGTGAACAAAACTCGACTGACATCTGGGCATGAGTGCTCTAGAGGTTATCAGAGAAGACCCAGTGAGGAGGGTCCTCAGACTGAGTCAGGGCTGGACTGTGTAACTGAAATGTGGAGGAAGCATGGCCTCATTTTGTTCCATGAGCTGGTTTGATGCGATAACCTGATGTGACTTATACTTTTTCCTCAACAGAACTGAAAGTTCGAGATGGGCTCAAGTGGAAAGACAAGTGAGTTTCTAGCCCCAGCCTTCAGGTGATGTTCAGGATGTGCATGGCCCCAGGTCCTTAACAATGCCAGTGTTCTCAGCAGGTCAGAAACGGCTCTTGCCTCCCCCCCAGGGCAGCCTTTAGAGCAAGGAGTTCTGACCCAAGTCCTGTGATCAAGCTGGGACAGTCTGACTGTGGAGGCGGTGCTGTGTGTGCATGTGACCATTGGGTGAGTCAAGGCCGGCCACTTGAACCGTCTACTTGTCCCTAGTCTGCCAGCCAGCCAGGAGCAGAGGACCCTGCAAAGGAACATCTTCTTGCCTTTGCCCTGGTACCACCGACTTCCTCTTCCTGCCCTGCTCTCAGCCCTGACCACGCATTCAGGTAACCTGGGGAGCTTTTGAAAAATACAGGCGAGGGTCCCCGAAACCAGTTTTTCAGAAGCTTCCCAGGTGATGCATGACTGTGGGTGGAAGGCTGCCAGCCAGCCCAAGCTGCGGGACTGCAGGGACATGGCCTGTGGGCACAGTGTAGGGAGACAGCTACCAACCCTGGGCTTGGAGAGTAAGACATTCCCTCCCAACTGAGGGTCTCCCCTCACCCCTATCCCTTGCTGGGCCTCTTGGGCCAACCAAGAACCATCAGGTCAGTCTGGAGGCATCTGAGCTGAGACTGATGTGTGAATGTGCCTGACTGGGGCTGTCCTGTCCCTTCCAGGAAGCAGGACCAGGAGGTTGCAGTGGGAGCAGAGGCAGTGCCGCAGGAGAGCCAGGGCCAGGCCGCCGCAGGGGTGCTCCAGAAAGGCTCGTGTTCAGGAACTGGAGGGACAGCACGATGGCAATTAAAGTGGCTGCCACCAGCAAGGATGACAGACGCCCCTAACCGCCAGCACAGACTCTTCCTTCACTGATGAGGAAAGCTCTCTCCTGTCCACTAGTATCTGGAGCCGGAAAACATGGATCAGGAGAGCCCAGGTTAAGTCCCACCCGCTACCACCTTTCCACCCCCCATTACAGTTTACATTCAATATTATTTTATAGTAGTTTCCAGTATACAGCATGGTGGCTAGACAATCCTATACTTTACAAAGTGGTCCTCCTGATAGTTCAAGTACCCACCGGGCACCGTACAGTTACTGACTATATCCTCTATGCTGTACTTTACATCCCTGTGCCTGTTTGGTGGCTACCAATTGGTACTTCTTCATCACTTCACCTCTTTTACCCAGTCCCCCAACTCCCCTCGCCTCTGGCAGCCATCAGTCCTTCTCTGTACCTATGAGTGTTTTTTGTTGGTTTATTTTGTTCATTAGACTCCACGAGTGAAATTATATGGTATTTACTCTGCCTGATTTATTTCCCTGAGCAGAATACTCTCCAGGTCCATCCATGCTGTCACAAAAGGTAAGATTTCATTCTTTTATTTTTTTGTCTGAGTCATATTCCATTGTGTAAATGTACCACTGCCTTTTAATCCACTCATCTACTGATGGGCACTTGGGCTGCTTCCAAAGCTTGGCTTTGTAAAAAGTACTGCAATGAACATAGGGGTGCATGTATTCTTTCCGAGTGTCTCAGGTTTCTTCGGATACATGCCCAGAAATGGAATCACTGTGTCATAAGGCAGTTCCATTTTGAATTTTTTGAGGAAACTCCATATTGCTTTCCACAGTGGCTACACCAGTCTGCATTCCCCACAACAGTGCACTAGGGTTCCCTTGTCTCCACATCCTCTCCAGCACTTGCTTATTGATGATAGCCATTCTGACAGGGGTGAGGTGATATCTTATTGTGGTTTTTAATTTGCATTTCTCTGAAAAGATGTTGAGCATCTTTTCATATGCCTATGGCCATCTGTATGTCCTCTTTAGAGAAGTGTCTATTTGGGTTCTCCGCCCATTTTTTAATTGAATTTTTAAAAAAGGTTGAGTTGTATGAGTTCCTTATAAATTTTGGATGTTAATTCCTTATCAGATGTATCATTGGTGACTATGTTCTACCACTCAGTGGATTGTCTTTTCATTTTGTTGATGGTTCCCTTTTGCTATGCAAAAACTTCTTAGTTTGATGTAGTCCCAATTTGTTTATTTTTCCTTTTGTTTCCTGTGGCAGAGGAGATATGTCAGAAAAAAATATTGCTAATGGAAATGTCAGATATTTTACTGCCTATGTTTTCTCTAGTTTTATGGTTTCAAGTTTTACATTTAAGTCTTTAATCCATTTGGAGTTTATTCTTGCATATAGTGTAAGAAGGCAGTCTAGTTTCATTTTTTTGTACATATCTGTACAATTTTCCCAACACCTCTTATTGAATAGACAAGCGATTTTCAACTTTTCCATCCCATGACAGACATAATTACTAAAATTCTGTGGTATAGCAAAAAATATATTTATTGGTGATCTGACAAAAAATATAGATATAATTTTGACAGATTTACCAAATTACGGACCCTTTTATCTCCGAAGTGAATTTGTAAAAAACCAAGTGCCTATACTTGTATATATGATTTCTGGTACTAAGAATTAACCAATTGGACGCAACCTTAAGCAGTGTGACCAATAAGATGCAATCTATTATATGAGCTATATGTTATGGTTCAAGGCAGCGTATTCAGACCTGATGGCTATTGTGTTGGCTGTTGTCATTTTTTTATTTGACAATCTAAGGGAAGAGGTCAGTGCCCCTGAATAGTCAGGTATTGCATATTTTAAAAATAATTCTTGTGGCATACCGGTTGAAAATTGCTAGAATACTGTCTTTACCCCATTGTATGTTTTCCTCCTTTGTCAAATATTGACCATAAAGGCATGGGCTTATTTCTGGGCTATCACCCACTACCCTCCTTCCTCTGAGAAGTACCAGGAAGCTCTATTGGCGAGCAAGAGCCTGAGCAGTGGCAGTTGGGTACTGGCTATCATACCTCGTTCAGTGAATGACAGGAAATAGTTCAAATGATGAGCCCAGTTCTTCAAGTGGGTGATGCTCAGAGGGGCCTACAATGAACCAGGACTGACCCCACATCTGTGAACTTGAGAAATGTATGTCTTTGGTCTGACTTGTCAAATAGGAAAGGGATGTTTTGAACCTACAACTCTAAATCCACATTGGGCTTGTCTTAAAACAATCTTGGTCCAAAGCCACCAACCATGCTTTGGTCTATGCAGCAGGGGATGCTAATTACCATCCTAAGAACCAACTAATTACACTTACCTGTATCCCTTTGATGACAGGTCTTCTCGGGCTCCCTGGGATGTCTTCATATGCCTGTCTCCACCCATCCACCCACCAGGCAGGCAGGCACTCTGTATGGTATGATTTTTTCTCCCCACCAGCACAGACCATGATAAAAGCAGCCACAGGAGGGGAAGGGGAGGAAAGGGCCTTTTCATCCATATTCTGAGCAGATTTTGGTTGCATGCTCCAGAGGCAACCAGCACGGCACCTAGCACCTACGTTTAACACTGTCTTTTTTGAAAGGAGAGGTTTCTGTGGAACTGCCCACTGCCATAGCTGGCTGGCCACACTCCACCCATCAACACCCTAGGTGGGCACCCTGGAGGAGAGGGTGGCCTCATCCTCCTTGTAGCCCAGAGGAGGCAAGTTCTGCTTCACTGGGAACTTCCCACCTGCTTCTACTGCAGAAAAAATACCAGGCGATTGTCCCTTGTCAACAAGCCTCCAGAAACCTGGCTTTGCTAAGCCCACAAAAGAACACACAAGTTAAAGGAGAAAGGAGACAAGGATGATTTATTTGGCAGTCAGATCTTAAGAGAGCAGCAGAACTAGCAATGGCTAAACCTGAGCCCAAATGCAGGCAATGGGGTTGCGTGTGTGAGGCACCTAAGCACCCTCGGGACTGGCCCCAACCTGCCCTTCGGGATGGGGCTGCCTTCCATCTCCTTCCTTGGACCTTTCAACCAGCTAGACAGAAGCTGCCATCAGCTCAGAGGCTTCATTCAGCACCTGACTGCCTGTCCTGTCCCCCCACCTCCCACAAGACAGGCAACTCCTTGCTCCCTCTTCCAGTCCTAAGGGAAAGCGTATTAAGTCTTTTTCACCTTAAAAAAAACCACCTCACCAGAATAAGCTTTGCTATTTCCTCTCTTCCCACCCACTTCCTGTCAGTGCCTTAACACCCCAAATTGAACCCCCAATAGGGCAGGCCACCCCCTGCTGCTCTCCCTCAGAGGCTTCTCCATGGTGAGGAGTAGGAGGAGTAAGTTAGTTACACCATCGAGAAAAAAAAATACCTTTTTAAAAAGTCCTTTTTAGAAGGAAAGCTTTCCCAATAAAATTTAAAATTTTTAATATTTATATTATAATATTATAAACCAAACGGTGGCAACCATATATAGACATGTTTGCTATGGACAAATCAGGATTTGAGGTCATCCTTTCTACATTTCCTCAGAAATTGTATGATTTCCTTCAGTTTACAATTCATGATAAGGAGAGTTTAACATAATGTTAAATAATTGACCACCTACCCTAAAAGTAAGCTATAGGAAACTGAATCAATATTGGGACCAAATAATAGCAAGGCTTTAACGGCTCAGTGGTTTTTCTTAAGAGTAGATATAAATCGTGAAAAAGTCACGCTGTTAGCTGAGCTGGAAAACCCATAAAAATAACAGTTCTGCCACAGTGCACAGCCGAATTCTTTCACTTGGCTTCCCCGATCCCTTCACCAAGCAGCTGTCAGGTTAGACATGGAAGACATAGAAGAATCATACATCCTATGTGAAATAATGAAGATAGTGAGAAATAGTGTGCAAAAAATAAACTTTAAAATTCTATACTCCAACATCATGTATGTCTAATAATAGGGTTTTCAGTTGACTGAACACTTGAGATCATCCCAGGCAGCGCCCTCTGGCAGGGTGGCTGGCACTCAGACCCCAGGGCTTCCACTGTAACAGGGAAAGTGGTCTTCAGGACGGGGTTTCATATCCGATCTGCTGGAGAGCCTTGTTGAAGGAGGGCATGTGAATTGTGTGCAGGAATTTCCTGAATGTGCTAGGCAAAGTCCCTAGCTGGGCCTCTGCCTTAGCAACTTGCTCCTCCATTCTGGCCACACTGGTGCCGATCATCCCGACAAAGGCCTCAAGTATATCCACAAACTTGTCTACCTGGTAAGCAGGTCCTCAGTGATGGGCAGTGGCAGATAGTGTAGCCCAGTGGTGTGGTGCGCCCAGTTCTGGGCCCTTGTCCTTCCATGGCCCTGAGGCGCTGCTGTGGCTCTGGGACACGTTGCTTCAAGTGGTGCCCTGTGGCTCAGCCTCCTCCACTGGCCCCTTACAGGGCAACCTTCCATGGCCTGCGACGCCCAATACTGCTTTTAACATGATCCCCTTATCTTTCAGGCTGGGTCGTGTTCCCTGCCATGGGCAATGTGCCCTTGTGCTGTGTCCTCCTCCTCGGGCAGGCCCTGTGCTCCTGTGCCCTAACTCCAAGGCCAAACTGGGGGGCATCCACCCCACACCCTGCCCGGCTATGGTTTTAAAGCTGCAGGACAATGTAAACTTGGTTTCCCTGGCCCAGCAAGGCTGCTGCTGCTCCTCAGAGCCTCCTGTGATGCCAGCTGAGGCAGCCTCTCTCTCCAAGGGGCTTCGGACATGGTCCTGGCCCCACAAGATGGTAGGATCCACCTCCAGAAGTCAGGCCAGATGTGTGTGCTTAATGCGAGACACAGTACAGTTTTTGCCTTCACTCAGGCTGGGCTGTGGAGGCCCCAAACAGGAATACATCTTAATGGCTTGGTTTTTGTCTAGCATTCTCTGCTGGAATTCAGGCTCCAGGGTGCGAGACCAGGAAGGGTGCCATGGCAGGCCGCTTCCAACGAACCCAGTTCACGGCATTCCAAGAGGCACGCAGCACCTGCTGCTCTCCATGAGGCTGGGGCACAGCTAGAGGCGATTGTCTCCGTTGACCCGAGTCCTTCGTGGGGCCCTGGACAGAAGGGATGAGTGTCCTTACTGGCAGTAGGGCCTTGCAGCCCAGCCCCAGGACAGACAGTTACAACTTTTATACCCAGGAGAAGAGGGTATCAAAGGACGACTGACCGAGCCACTTCCCATCTCTCTAGCATGGCACCCACCCCCCACCCCTCACCTTCTCTCCCGGCTGTCAAAATGGTCTGGGAGATGCTCCTGGGAGATGCGAAAGTCTTCAAATGGCTGCTGGTAGCGCGCTTCAAAGGAGCCTTCGCGGGCCCGGCCATGGAACAGCTGGCCCGAGGCATCGGAGCCCCGCTCCCGCAGGGACGTACCACTGAAGGGACTGAGGTCACCGTTCTCCTGCTTCCATGAGGGAAGTGCACCAGAGGTCAGTGACTCCCCTGCACCTGCGAGGCTGCGCCCGGCCAGGGTCCCACCCCCTGACGTTACCTTGGCAGGGAAAATGTCGACCTTGACCAGCAGGGAAGCCAACTCCAGGTCCTCACTGTAGTTGTTCTTCAAAGGCACTGCTCTGTACCCTGGGAGGAAAGCCTGGCCCTCAGCCTGGGAGGGAGCTGAGGAAGGGCCTCCACCCTCCCACCCCAGATCACAGGCAGGGTCCTCACCTGTCTTCAGGCCTTTCACCGGGAAAGTAGCCTGAGCCAGGAAGTTCTGGTCACTAAACATGTCTTCCTCATACACCACAAAGCGCAGAAAAGCGAATTCAGGGTTACTGATTTGGAAGTGGAAGGGCTTGGCCGGCCACACGGGGTTGAGGCCATTGTCCACTGCGAAAGCAAGGATAAAAGGCCTTAAGCCATCACCTCAAGAGGATAGGGCCGCTGGTGCAGAGGGGAGGATGAGGACAGGAGTGGGGAAGGAAGGCTCACCCACAAACTCTGTCTTCTGCTTGTTGTTGTCATACTCAGCTCCAGCAACCTCAATCTCCACAAAGGGACACACAATGCCTCGGCCATTCTTTGGTAGATGCCGGGCGCCCAGCACCTGTAAGGCAGGCAAAGATGGGCCTGGGATTGTCCTTCCTGCTCCCTCCAAGTCCCCACCATGCAGTGAAGGCAGTGCGCCCTCTGCTGGGCCCCCAGGACACTGCCCCTTAAGTCCCTAGGAGTAACTGCTGACAGCAAACCTTCATTTGAAGATGTCTTAGCTTTAACCAAAATTTTCATGTGAGTTTTTGCAATCTACTTCACATTAAATCCATGTCTGTTTTAACATAGAAATCTTTCAAATTACCTCTAGGGGGAAAAAGGAATCTCTTCTCTCAGAAGCAAATGCTCACCCCATACTCTCCTCACTCTTCCTCCAAGACTCTGCTCAGGCCCCAAGCACCCTGAACCCCACATCAGCAGGGCAGCAGGGTTGTTCAAGAACTGCTACGAAGGCATGTGGGCCTGGGGCGAGTCGCTCTCCTGAGCACCGGGCCCCTGGTTCACCACTGGCACTAGCTTCCTGCCCTTCTCCTTCCAGACAGTGGTTACCCTCGGCTTGGCTTCAGGAGCAGCCTGACTCCTTAGTCAAGAGCCAGCCCCGCTGCTGAGACTGCTATCTGCCTTTCCACCTCAGAGGACAGGTATGTCTTCCTCAAGCTCAACAACAGAGCAGTGCCCTTCCCCAGTCTTGTTAACCAGCATCCCATCTTTGACTCCTGAAACGAGCCCAGTGGAGCAGCCCCGTTCCCACTCAGAAGCCCACCTCGATGCAGATGGCACATGGCTCCAGCCCGCGGAGGCTGCTCTTGTCAAAGGGGTCGAAGGCCTCGTCCCGCATGGTGCTGGGCTGCAGCACATAGCCGCAGTGCCCGCCGGTCATGAAGAGGGCCTGGTTCATCTGCATGGGCTTGTCTGCAAAAGCCAGGTGAGTGACCTCCAGCCCCACTGCCCGGGGGCTCCTCCCCACCCCACAGCACCTCCTCACCTGGGGTCTGGAAGTTGAGGGCCACCAGCTGACTGCCACAGATCCACATGGGCAAGGGGTCATAATTGGAGGAGTCTAGCCGCTGGCCCTTGGGGTAGATGCGGGAGAGCTGCAGCCGGTTGTACTGCAGGAACTTCTTGCCTTTGGCCTTGTTCACATACTTCTCCGCCTTGGTTTCCGGGAAGGACGACATATCCCGGTAGCAGGCACGTTCTGTGCCAATCTCTGGGCCAAACAGGGAGGACACTTACAGAGCCCGCCCACCCAGGCATAGTTGGGGGGCCAGCACCCAATCCCTGCATAAAGGGACTAAACACTCCTCCTGCACCCCCCATGGAGAGCACCCCGCTGCGCCTCGGCCCTTACTCTCTTCATCGAAGGGAACAGGCCGGCAGTAGACGACAAGCTCGGAGAGTTCAAGGGCGATCTTCTTCCTCCGCTCCATCATCTTCCCCTCAGTGAGCTGGTGGCACACACAAGGGCGCTGTAGCCCCAGGCGGAGCCCCACCGAGAAGAAAGCAGCCCCTGCCAGCCTTGGGCAGTCCACACGGTAGGTCCCCTGCACCTTCCAGACCCCACTGGACCACACACAGAGCCCTCTATTTTGGCCTCAACCCAGAACTGTCCTTCCTCCTCTCTGCCTGAGGAGAGGGTGGGGTCCAGGTTGGCCGCACTACCCAAGGATGCTTTGTCACCATCTGTTACCTAGCTTTTCTCAGGCCAAAGGGCCATCACCTCCTGGTTCCCTGTGACTTCACTGGGAACTTGGGCCTCTGGCTTGGTCTTCTGTACCCCAAGGACCATCCTTCCACCACCCTGAGCCTTATTGCCTCAGCTCCCCCAGTCCAACGCAACATCTACTGCCACAGCCACATTTTGGCGACAGAAGCCCACTCCTGAGAGCCCCCATCCTGTCCTCTTACCCCTGGAGGTCCACTTCCACCAGGGGCTCATGTATTCATAGCCTCTTTCTTCCCCTTTCAGCCTAGACCCTGGGATCCATCCCTCCAACCACCTGCCAGTACCTTATCCCAGGCCACACTTTTGGCACAATCCTCAGACCCGTCCCCACTATGTTCAGCTCACAAATCTGTTTTGAGGCCACTCTACTCACCCTAAATGACTAGGGCAAATGGTCACCAAGTAGTAACTCCCTTATCCTTGCGAGTACTTCCTTCTCTCCATTCCCCCAGAAGGCTAATCTTCCAGCCAAGCTCGGGCTCCATCCCGCTGGCTCCTGAGCTGTTGGCATTAATGCCCACCCAAATCCCAGCCCTCTTCTATAGCCAGATCCTAGAGAGCCTGGCCACTGCCATCCAGTACCAGCCCTGACACTGACATGGCTCTTGTTAGTGTCACCAAGGCCATTTTCTGCTGCCAAACCCAACGGGTACTTTCAGATTCTTACCATGCCTGTGGGTGTCTCCACAGCCCTGTCCTTCCCAGGCTCCTCTTCCTCCTTTCCGGTCCTCATGCCTCCTGAGCACCCACACCTGCTTCCAGCCCAAGACTTCTCTTCTAACCTCTGCCCTGTGTATCTAATTGCCCCACTGAGAAGACCCACCTGGATGGCCTCACGTATCTCAACACACCCTAACAGGCCACATCGCTAGCTCATGTGGGTTTCCTCCAGATCCTTGCCTAGAGGCTCACATGCTGCCCACCCAGCACCCCGCAGACTCCGGCAGGCACTCACCCTGGCATCTGCGGTCTGGGCCACTTCACGGATCTTTTTCACCCAGTCCTGCAGCTCCTCCTGTGAGTCAGCAGCAACATCCAGGGACCACTGCGCCACCGATGCCATACTGATGGAGAAGACGAATGGCCGATTGTTCTTGCCCTCAGGACGGATGGCTAGGGGGGCAAGAGAAGAGCTTGGTCAGACACTTTTCGGTGCCTTCCTCAAGTTTTCTCATCACCTTTCTTCCTCCCAACACTTGGAGGGAGGCAGCGCTGCTCTGCCAGGCCTGGGGAGGCCAGGGCTTGAACCCGGTCTGTCTGATATAGGCCTCAAATCTGGACCCTGGGACCCTCCCCAACCATCTGTCAAACCCTGTGACTCAACCCACTGGGACTGTGGATGTCAGCATCAGCGGCTGTGCCTGGCCCAGGGTGAGCATGCAGAAAGGAGCCTGGGTGGTGTCAGGGGGATGTCTAAGTATGGGAAGAACTCAGAGTGAGGGCAGCCTTTGGGGCCACCACCGCCCCCCCCCCCCCCACTTGGAGCATGGAAAGAGCCTGACTCTGAGGAACAGTGGGTGAGAGAAGAGGATGGGGCTCACCAATCTGACAAGCTGGAACATCCAAGACCCCCCGCAGCAAGTCCCCCAGGGGGCTGTTCTCGTCCAAGTGCTGTGGGAAGCAAAGCCCACAGGTTCGTCAGCAGGCCTCCTGTATACATGCGTGTGAGGGGATGTCTGTTGCATACGACAAATACATCTTATAAGTGTGCACATGATTAAACAGACGTGGCATGTATATGTTGGAGACCATGGACACCACAGCTGTGATGACCACACATGTGGGGTGGCTGTGCATGCGCAGGCACACCTGACTGTGTGATGAGTGTGTGCACAGGGGAGCTGGTGGTGGGACTCCTGTTCTGCCAGCAGTTCTAGCCTCACCTCCCTCTCAGGCTCCAGGACTGCTGGGCTGACCATCTCCTCCACGTAGTTTGACGGGAACCAGAGTTGCTTCTTCCCACCATAGTCTCCCCGCCACCTGTGGAAGCCACAGGCTGCTGACCCCCAGCAATCACCCCAAACTCCCACGAGGGGGGTATCCTTTGTCAGGGACCCCACACCTAAGCCAAGGCAGGCACTGCGGAGACACACGTGGGACAGACGGGCACTTGTAGGGCTCTCCAGCCCAGGGACCCAGCTCACCAGCCTCCGTCCTGCTTCTCCACATTCTGGATGATGGCGCTCTTGGTGAAAGTCAGCTCGTCGTCTCTCTGGGCCTTGTAGTCAAAGAGGGCTTTGACTGCACACTGCACGGAGAGAAGCAGTGGTGAGAGCACAGTCCCTGTCCGCCACTCTCCCGACTGCAGCCTCACGTGCACACACTAGCACCTGGGCTTCCCAGGTGGGGCTCAGGTAGCAGCCCGCCTAGTTACAGTCCTCAACACTGCCCTGCAGGAGGCTCCAGGACAGATGTCACTGGGGACAGAGCCACACCTCTACCAGGGAAGCTCCTCGGGGTCCAGGTGAAACCTTGCAGGCCCCTGCCTGGGCCCCTGGAACCACATCATTCCTCATCTGAAAATAAAAAGGAACCTTCTCCCAGGCTCCCTGGCTGCTGAGGAAAAGGGGGTGGGGGGGGGGGGAAGGGTTAGGGCACAGGTCTTACCCCTTAGAGAAAGATCCTGTCTGAAAGATCACGAGGTGAGGGAGTAGCAAAAACAAAGTTTTCTGACAAGTGTGCTCCCCTTCCCCCCACTGCTGCCAAGGAGGAAACCAGGGTTACCCCGGGGAACAGTCAACAGGGTCAGTGCCGACCCCCAGGGACAGGGGCTGGGAGGGGTTGGCCCTGAGAGACCTGCGGCCACACACCAACCACACATTTCTCATAACCTCTCAGGCCTCAGAAAACCACAAATACCACTTCTCCACAAAGACCACAGATGGGCCCTGAGCAGAGAAATGTAAGCCCTAAGCAGCTGGGGACTCTCCCCAGCTTCCTGTGGCCACAGGCCCGAGGCTGTACCTTAAAAGTTGGCATAGGGTTTGCCTCCACATAAAAGCCAGGGTTGCGTCCCTCATACAAGGCCCCATAGTCAGGCTCCTAGAAAGGGGACAGAATGGGGACATGTTAACACCCAGAGACGAAAGGGGTGCTGGCTGCCACATGCTCCTTTCCTAGGGCAGCTGGTCACTAAGTCTGCCCTCTTCACTGGTGCCTGGTCTTCCTACCTCAGTGGGCATGGCCTCACCCCTTCCTCTCTCCACATTCTTAGTTTGAGACCCACCCCATTAGCAAGCTCACTGCAGCGGAGCTCTGTTCGGCAGTTCACTCACTCACTCGGCTGAGCCTGGCCCCCAGCACGCTCCTTTCCACCACCCCAGCTCCAGTGGATGGCAGTCTTCTCCCTAGCCATGCCATCTGCGTCACTGATGACAAAAGTCTCAAGTGGCTCTCCCGTCCCAGACTCCTTCCTTTTATCCAGACCCTGGTCCAGAACCCTCACTGTCCTGCCTTTTCACCAGTCTCCTCCCCCTGGAGCTCTGTTCTCCACGATCCACTTCTGTAGCCCACTCTCCTGCCCCAGGAACACTCTAGTCCACACCCGTCTGGATAAGCCCCCAGCCTCGGGCCCATCCTCTCCACGTGTGGATTCCAGGACCTCTTCACCCACACCTTGGCCCACAGGGACCACTGCTTGAATGGCTGTCCCCCACCTCATCTGCCTAACTTGTGCCCAGTCCTGCCCCACACATCTGGATTATCCCGACTGGTAGATTCTGGGCCTCCCAGCAGCGAGCCCGGGAGGGTCATGCTGGTCTCTCCCCTGCCTGCTGCACCCCTCAACCGGTCCTCACAGCTGTGCCTATCTTCTCCAGTGCCTCCTCATTGATGGGATAGCGCAGCTTCATCTTTCGATACAATGGATGCTTCTCGTAGTAACTGATGAGGTCGACAAGGCTGTCAAACTCCGAGTTGCCCAGCATCACCGTCTGGCCCTCCTGCTGGACGCGGCAATGCTTGATCTTGCCTTCAGCCCTTGACAAGGACAGAACAGTCACACAGGGAACCAGCTGCAGGCCAGCACCACCTCCAGCATCCCAGGCCACACGCCTCACCGGAAGGAGATGGCGTAGGAGTTGGGCTCATTCCGTTTCCGCACCAGGAAGGCCCCATCACGGGGGACGCGCATCAGCATGTGCTCAGCCTGCGCTCTGGTCAGGCTCGCGTGGTACCATCTGAGGACAGGCCTGAGTCAGGACCCTTCCCTCCATCACCACTCAGGTCCCCACCCGCCCCCATCCCCGCCCTCACTCTTTGCTTTCGTGGGCATTGGTCTGGGGGACAGGCTCCGAGAGGCGCATCTCAAATTCATTGCAGCGCAGGGGCACCTGCTGGTAGTGCGTGATGAGGTCATAGAGTGAGTCAAATACAAGGTTGTCTGTCAAGAAGAACTTGGGGGTCCCAGCATCCTGCCGGGAGTGGATCCGGCAGTGTTGGACCTTCCCGTTCCGCCTGAGGGAAGAGGGGAAAGCAGTGAGCACAGGCCCGAGTCCCACACAGGCACCAAATCTCAGAGGGGGACAGGGCAGCCCTGCAGGAGGGAGGCCGCTAACTGGGTAAGTGTATGTAAGCTTGTGGGTGAGATTAAATGTTTCCCCTGAAAGCCTGGAAGGAAAGAAAATGGATCACAGCTACCTCAGGGTGGTGCTGCACCCGTGTGCACAAGCATAGGGAGTGGGTTACCAGAAAGAAAGGGTGTAGTCGCCAACGAAGGTCTCGCTCTCGCGCACTAGGAAGGAACCATCAGGGGCCCCGGTCTCAATGCAGTACTCAGTCAGCAGGCGCTCGGCGATGTGCCTCCCGTCCCGTCCTGCCCCAAGCTTCCCATGGAACCACTTCTCATTGGAGTGCAGCTCGGTGCTGCCACTGGCCTGCACGGGGGAGGACGATAGCAAAGACACTCAGTGACTCTGAGCCCAGCCCAGCCCCCAGCCCTGAGCTGGCCCCTCACCTCCTTGGGCTCTTCCTCATCCTCATTGCCCTGGTCACTGCTGGTCTCCTCAGAGTAGTAGATCTTGCTGCTGGTCAGAACAAAGTAGTGGGGATACCACTCCTGGAAGAGACGGACGTGGGGCCGTGACAGGGTGCTCCCACCACCTGTCCCACCCTGCCCAGTCCGGCCCAGTCAGTTCTGCCCTCACATGGTTCACGGGGTCTTCCAGGTAGAGGATGCCATTCTTGATGGAGTTGCTGATGTCGTTCTCAGAGTACATCACAGACGAAGGCACCTCCTCATAGGCACTGCCCTCAGCCAGCTTTTTGTGCTGTGGGTAGCAGGCCAGGATATGGCAGTGCCAGCCGGAGTCCCAGAGCCCCACTGCCTCACCGAGGCCCCAGACCAGCAGCCGGACCAATGACCATGGAGAGGTCCTGAGCAGGGGGCCCCCAGCCCATTTCCCTACCTTGATAAGGATCTTCCTCTTGAGCTGGTTGGGGGAAGGGAGCCCGTCGGCGGCAATGTCCACGGGCTTGGTGAGGAGTGTGTCCCCGAGCACCTTCTTAAAGTGCTGGGCCATGTTCCTCTGCTGAGCAATGCTGCAGTGGTCCTCGATGGACAGGATGACCGGGTACCTGCACGGTAGGGGACCACCCTGTCACGGCTCCGCTTCGGACTCTTCCAGAAGTGGTATCCCCACTACTTCGTTCTAACACAGACCCTACGGTTCTGCAGGGTCAAATCTCAGTCCAAACAGCCCTCACAGTGAGGTGTTAGGAGCCAAGGGCCTGGGGTCCCATCTACAGGGAGCTATCCCAGAGAGGAGGTGGGTTCTGGCCACTGGAAGGGTGGAGGGGTGCTAAAGGGGCACTTGGAGACTCAGATCTGCTGCAGTCCCATGAGTTGGTTCCACGGTGGAGGCTGCCCCAGCAGGAGAGAGATCCCACACCAAAGAGGTCAGGAAAGAGGAGAAGCAGCCTCCAAATTCAGCTACTGGGGGGCCCTGGTGATCCCTTCAATGAGGCAGCAGAGACCAGTGCCCTGGTCACTGCTGATCTCCTCCCAGAGCCCGTCCCACGGTGACCACAGGTGAGGGTGAATAGGAGTTGTAGAATGGGACACGGGACAAAACAATTTTCTGGGCTGTGAAGGGAAGAGTTGGCAGGACAATGGTCAGGGTTAA